CTGTCTTGGCCATGATACCGTATTAGTAAACACTGTGTTTATACTTACACATTCTTAGGATATGTAAAACGAATATATGTATATTCATGTGATTGGTTATATATTAATCATGTACAAATCATGTACATAATGAACTATATATATATATATATATATATACATACATATATGTATGTAGTACAATGTAAATGAACGGATGTTGTACTGTTAATTTATTGATTTATGAGTAATTTTGTTGTTTTTATAAAAGTTATATAGAATAAATATACATGAATTGAATTGATTTGTAATGTAAATAGTAGTTATTTTTGAACGCACTTTAGTATTTAGTCATTGAAACGAACATCATGTTGAACGTAATTCATCCTTATAATAAAAATACTTCATTTTCTGAGTATTTAACGTGTAACGATTTCGCAGTTTGTATACATTTTCCGTACCTTTCCGTATTTCGAATAATATATTCAAATATGTTATCACTACATAGTATAGAACAAAGTCGCTACCCGCTGTCTGTCTGTCCCCATGTATGCTTAGATGTTTAAAACTACGCAACGGATTTTGATACGGTTTTTTTAATAGATAGAGTGATGCAATAGGAAGGTTTATATGTATAATACATGTATATTATAGTTCAGAAAAGCCGAGAAATTCAAAGATTTGTATTTCATACTAAACGTTAGAATACCAATATAAATAGTTCAGGCCATGTGAATTGAGTATATGCATGAAAATAAATATGAAGACATCTTATTTAGATTTATTATGTATATATATGTGTATGTAACTATATCGAGTACATTATGTCTCTCAATTCGTTTTCGTTTAAAATTTCGCAAATGGTTTATGTTTGATATATATACATATTATGTATGATACGTGGAAACAACCGTCGATCAGCAATGACGTACTTGGTCGAGTGAAGGCGCGAATTTCCCCCAGGCAGCACTTTATTGGATCATTTCCAAGGAAAACTCAATTTTGTAAGAACAATGTGGAAAGATGAAGAAACCCTGCTGTGGGAGTTCAGCTAATTGTACATTTGACTAAAGGGGCCGCATGAATATGTTACCAATATAATAATTAGGCCATTCAAAAATACCGCTATCATACTGACAGATCTAATCTAACTTTTAGGTTTTTCATAAAATAGATACGGAATCGAGTTTGCGAATTTAATATTATTCTAAAATATACATGACCATAAAAAAGTTGGGGCAATATTTCTCATAGAATAAGGGTAAAATAATCATTATAAAGCTGCGAAACAAATTACGAATGTACATACATTATACACGTGATTTTATGCAAAAGCTCTACTATATGACAATAAAAGCTCATTTAAACATATAACCTAGTACCTACTTAGGTTTTGAACTTTGGTACACATTACCGGATCACCAGCTATGACAATATCATATTTTAACAAAATCCCTCCAGTGGTTTTTCCGTGATGCAGTCACAGACAGACAAACAAAAATTCTAAAAACTAAATTCGGTCTCTGTATCGATAATAATGTCTGTTTCAATAAGATTTACAGATTCAGCTTAGTTACAATTTTATTTTACGAGTATGTATAGATTTCATCGATGTCATATCTTGTTGACTGTGGTTTCTCATATTCCAGTTTTAATATGTATTATTTTAGACAACCGCCACCAAAATAGACTAAGTGGTCATATAAAAAAATATTAATTGATTAATTATTTTCATCTATAGTCCGATATACATATATTTTAGGTATTTAGTCCCATTACTTTATAAATCAGCTTTCCCGTGTTATTTTAGTCTGTCATTTGTAGTCGATAATGAAAATTCGATCATTGAAAATACAATATCGATTTAAGTCTATAACAATTTAAACTGTCCAAACAAATGCCTCCCACGGTCCGCCTGCTTATCCTTGTTTGCAAAGTGATATCGAAATTTAATTTTGACTCTTTTTTAACTTCGCAAGGGTCGTTTGGCCAATGTCAATTAAAATTCATGGACTTGTAGTACTTTTAACAATTAAATTATATCGCTTTCAAAGCCGACGCTCTTAATGCTCGTAATATTTCAACATTTTGGAACCGCTGTACTTATCTCTTACGAACTGCTGAAACTTCCTAGAAATCTTATTCTTATTTTACATATATATAGCTTAGCTTTTGTTTATTTTTCTACACTTGATAGTTTAAGTAATATTATTTTACACTGATCCTTTATATAAAAATCGTATAATGTTACACAAAAATGATAAAAGATACATCACACTTTAGTACTTAAATATTCAATTTTAATTTAAGGCTTTTTTTAAACCCTTTTACATAACTTTTTCCTCCGAATAAAGTATACAATATACATGTACAGAGATACCAATCAATGAGTATTTATTTTCTTATATGTATATAACTAGCGACTCATCCTCGTTCCGCTCGGGTTCGTCCCTACTTACGTTTTAACTTTTAGTATAGATTCGGCCTTAGTATAGATATCTCAGATAATATGAGATATTTTCCCGCAGTAGAGTATCCTATATGTTTACCCGGAAAAACAGCTATCATCATACCAAATTTCATCAAAATCTCCCCAGTGGTTTTTCCGTGATGCTGTAACAGACAGACAGACAAAAATGCTAAAAACTATAGATTCGGCCACTATATCGATAATAAATAATAATATCTATTTCAATAATATTTTCCAAAGAATATTTAATGTACAGATTCGGCTTAGTTACAATTTTATTATATGTTATAGATTTACGTAATCTCACAACATTAATAATAGGTTCGTGGTTAATCTTAAAGTTCCGTTATCGGGACCGTTAAAACGCTGTGAATCTTTGTACTCAATTTAAGACAGACAATAACAATTGTGGTTTATTATTTTCAAACGTTCTCATAGCTACGTTAGAGACGGTACCTATTCGAAATGTGCGTACATTTCCAGCTCTCAGACACTCTAATGTTATATTATTACAATACTCGAGGGCAAACGTATTCACGTATAAAACTTGAGTGAATAGAGACAAAAGCTTAAAAAATAAATGAAAAAAATATATATCATAAAATGCATTATTTTTGTCAAAATATTATTAATTTCATAGAATCATACTGAAAAATTAAATTTTTCAGTATGATTCTATGAAATTGTACAAATATATATATATATATATATATATATATATATATATTTTATGATTTGTGACAATTATTGAAATAAGAAGAGTTCGATTCCTGTGTGTAATGAAATATATTACCTATAATTATGTGTTGTTGGAACGTACTTATTTCGCATCTGGACAATCATTTTCCTACCTGACGCGAGTAGTTGAAAATTTAGATTTTTTTTTCCGACTTCTATACATATAATAAAATTCTGAGTCGAATCTGTTCATTAAATATTTTTTTTTAAATAGAGTAATATAATAAGAAAGACTCATTATTATCGATACAGAGGCCGAATCTGTAGATTTTAGATTTTTTGTCTGTCTGTCTGTCTGTTACCACATCACAGGAAAACCACTAAAGGGATTTTGATGAATCTTGGTATAGTGATAGCTGGTTATCCGGGTCAACATATAGGATACTTTTTACCGCGGGAAAATATCTCATTTCTGAGAAAAAATACAAAAACAGCATTGGAAGAGTATACTAATATGTAAAACCTAAGAATTTGGTCATCTGAACGCGGGCGGAGCCGCGGACAATGCTAGTTATCTATAAATTATAATTTAAGTGCAGGAATATAATTTTTAACAGTATGTCCACATTACATATTCATCGACATTTGTTCTCAAATCATAGCGAACACTAAAATGTTTGTCGAGACGTTCATATATTATGTATGTACTCACTACTCAAGTCTCGCTTTAAATAAAAATATTTTTTTATTATAATTTATCAAGTTCAACGTCAAATTTGAGATACATATTTGATAAATTACGACGTGCAGTCATTAATTGCAAAGTAAAGTAAATTAATCATTCAGTGCAAGGGCTTGTATTACGAAGTTATAAATTATTTCAATTCAAGATTTATATGAAAACTAGCATTGCCCGCGGCTCCGCTCGCGTTCAGATGACTAAAAACCAATTCTTAGGTTCTACATATTAGTATACTCTTACAATTCAGTTTTTGTATTTTTTCTCAGAAATTAGTTATTTTCCCGCGGTAAAAAGTATCCTATATGTTGACCCGGATAACCAGCTACCATCATACCAAATGTCATCAAAATCTGTCCAGTGGTTTCCTCGTGATGCGGTAACAGACAGACAGACAGACAAAAATTCTAAAAACAATAGATTCGGACTCTGTACCGATAATAATGTCTATTCCAATTAGATTTTCCAAAAATATTTAATGTACAGATTCGACTTAGTTAGAATTTTATTATATGTATAGACGAGATTTTGATAAAATTAAAATATAATTATATATTATTCAATCTTTTAGCATTTGTTTCTTCACTTCGTTTACTTTTCATAGTAACACGTTCTTATGAAAATTTTTGGTTGCAGACTAATTCATTATATGTAAGATTAGAAACAATTGGTTGGTTAGAAAGTAGCCTATTTCTGTCCGTTTTAAAAACTTTAAAAACACATATTATCATATCAGACGAACAATTTGTTTTGTAAAATTATAGTTTTATAGTATGAAAAATGAAAAATTAACACCAATTACATAGCTTTAAGCGTCAGTCATTACACTAATCGCTGAGGTAATGCGTACGATTAAAGTTGATCTCGACGCTAAAGTGTAGTATACTATGTAATTTCTTTGTAGATTAAATAACTTTGTAAATGTAATTTGTAAAAGCACCTTAAAGGTTCTATGAATATAATAGCTTTGGAAATGAAAAAGTCTTTTTTTGCTCTACGATATAATCTGATGTCTAATTTAAAAGATAGCCTAATTTATGAGCTATTTTTAAATTTAAAACCTTTTTTGTTTTCAATTTAATATTGGTATTATAAAGCTTTTAATGGTAAATAATCATAAATTGTTATTTTCAGGTCCTACTAGTCCATGAGGCGTCAAAAGGTAGTTTTTCACGGGTTTTCGACTTAGAGGCTGGCGACGACGCAGAGCCGGGCACGCCACGCACGTCGCCTTATGAGAGTCGGTTTCCCATAAACATTGGTATTACGGGTTACGTAGCCACGACTGGTGAGGTAAGTTTGCTTAAAATTAAATTTAGTAAATAACCTATCATATTTTCTAGATTAAGCTGTTATTAAACACAAATATAGGCACGTTTCTAAAGTTGGAACAATTGTACAAAGTATTTTTATGATATAAGAAATAGTTGTACTGTTTATATTTATTCCGCGCCGCAACCCTAAAAGCTCGCGATAAATCTAATTTTCTTTGCTCGATTCCATATCTAATTCGACAATGGAACGTGGGTAATTTGAGAATTATTGTAAGAAATATTTATCTATCCTAAAATACATTTATTTTACAAGTGACTCACCTACGCTTCGCTCGGTTGCGTCCTTAGTTACGTTCTAATGGTTAGTATGGAATTATTTATATACATAGGGACGATGAGTTGTTGTGGGTTGTATTATAACGTCATTTCCCGTGGAAATGAGATAATCTCCCGCGGTAAAGAGTAGCCTCCAGCTCTCAAACTACGTCCACACAAAAAATCACGCTAGTCCGACACTGTTTTGACGTAAAAAAAAGGACAAACAAGCGAACAAACAAACACACTTTCACATTTATAATGTTATAGTATGGATATTATATAGGTAGACGCAGGATCTTTCAGTCGAGTATCATTACATATACTGTTTTTCGCAAAAATTATAAGAGAAGTCGATTATTGTCGTTATTATTTTATTATACACTATAACAATATGTTTTATTCGCTTTAAATGGCATTTGGGAAATAAAATAGCAATATCATTCTTCGCATGCCATACAGCTATCAGTGTAGAATGAGTAGTTCAAACTTTACCAAGAGCTGTTGAAAGTTTAATCTTCCCATCAGAGGTTACGATTTGTCGAGCATGTTTAAATAAAACTTTTTTTAAATATTATCAAGAAAGTTAAAATTACGGTTAAATTTAACTTTTCTTTTAATTAAGAAAACTGCTCTAGACTTTAAACGATTTGTATTTTCTATGTTAAACCGAACGAGTAACTATTATCTATACTATAATATTATAAAGAGGTAAAGTTTGTTAGTTTGTGAATTGTGAGTTTGTGACGTTGTAGGGGGTAATCTCTGGATCTACAGAACCGATTTAGATGAAATTCGATAAGAAGATAGTTTAAAAGCCTGGAAAGGACATAGGATACTTTTTATCCCGGAAATCATCCCTTAAGGGGGTGAAAATGGGGATGAAAGTTTGTATTGGGAACCTAGGGACGAACCCGAGTGAAGCGAGGATGACTCGCTTAGTAGTATATATACCTACATTTTTTATATAAAGTGTTAGTTTATTACACATGTTTTTATACACATGTTTATTGTTGACTGTACAAATAAAATAAAATGACCCTATTTTGTACATAAGAATATAAATAAAAAAAAATACTATTTTTTCCTGCGGCCTCGCTCTCGTTGCCTTCCATGTATTAATACATTTATTATTACTCTATATTATTTAAACCCACAAAATATGCTATAAATAAGCGTAAATAGGTTACTCATTCACTCATTAACCTTATCATTTATAGTATCAGTGTGAAGTGTGATCAATGTTACAGACAGTCAATATCGCTGATGCGTACCTGGACCCCCGATTCGACCCCTCAGTGGATGACGGCGCAGGGTTCAAACACAATACCATACTGTGCATGGCGATCAAAAATTCTGAGGGACGAATTATAGGTGTTATTCAAGTAAGTTAAAAATATTTAATAGAAATGATTTATATAGTTGTTAGTGCAAGCTTAGTCAAAAGTATACATTAAAATTATTTATGTAATCAGCTGTAGTATATTGTCCTGTCCAAACTTAGCTGAATATGTTCATAAAGATCAAAGAAAGATCAAAGAGTCCATGCAAAATCCTATAGGTAAGAAGTTATTCAGCTTTTTCCTGATTTTCCGAATTTTCCGGGATACCATATTTTCCATATCTTCCTACCATAAATAATCGTAAAATTGTGTCAAGTCATTCCGGCCGTTCTCAAATTATGCACTTGCCAACGAACAGTATTTCATATTTATTTAAATTTATAAGCGCGAAAATCAAATAGGGAATAAACCAAAAATTAAAATCAATCTGCGAAAAAACCTGAAAAGATAGTTTCATGAAAAAAAAAACGGTTTTAACGTTCTTTATATTTTTGTGATCAATTTGTAAAACTCTTCATTTTGATATCCTGCTGTCGCCCGAGACAAAAATCTTTAAATCCTTATAAGTGACGCTTGACCGGGCTCATTCATCTATACATATAATAAAATTCTAACTAAGTTGAATCTGTACATTAAATATTTTTTGGAAAATCTTAATGAAATAGACATTATTATCAATACAGAGGACGAATCTATAGTTTTTAGAATTTTTGTCTGTCTGTTACCGCATCACAGGAAAGCTACTGAAGGGATTTTGATGAAATTTGGTATGGTGATAGCTGGTTATCCGGGTCAACGTAATATAGGATACTTTCTACCGCGGGAAGATATCTCATTTCCGAGAAAAAAAAACAGAAAATGGTTAGAATAAAACCACGATGATACTATAAGTATATATTTTAGCGAGATAACTTACTAAATAAGGCAAAAACTATTAAAAATAGCTTATCTTGAAAAATAATAACAATAGCGCTATTTTATTTGGTTTTTGGTCATCCGAACGCGGGCGGAGCCGCGAGCAATGCTAGTTAAGGAATAAGACACGGACATTATGTATCTAGTGTACTATTTTCAAACATATTTTTTTTTGTATTTCGCCACTGTCGGTTAAAAATAGGTTATTACTAAAAAGTTTGGATGTAAAAGAATTTATGATTCAGAGATTTATAATCTTCTCAATAAAAGTGGCCGTATGAGCTGGCGACCCGAAAGCGCGCTGTGTAGGTGGGAATGAATAAAATATACATTAAATGGAAATTATTAAATAATAAATGTTTGAAATTAAACCGATAAAGCTCATCAGGCGGAGATTCCTTCTAAATTTCAAAGATTATTTCTACATCATAAAGTTTTCAAAGGCATTAATAAACCGCTGCCATTGATAAAATTCCCAAGAGACTTAAATACAATGAAATGGCCGAAGTTCAGTCATAAATGTATCTTCTGGGTCTCTGTGAATTAACGAAAAATTCAAATGGACACCAACAAATGTTCTTAACACGTTGCGCATTGCGGGCGAGAGAATGCGACAACGTATATGCGTGTAAGTGTACTCGCAGATTGCTCTACGTAAATTACGTAAATTTCATCGCTCGTATGCATCACGCTGTGAAATGCTGTTTGGTTTATTTCGTTATAAATATGCAAATATTTTATATAGCACCAGTCGCGTTAATTTTTTCTTTTTGTAGGTTAAACTCGAACGAGCTTTCATTTTACCTTCTGTACTTTCTTTATTATAATTTATATTAAATGAAACGTTTTATAGTACTTAATAAAATTGTATTTTCTTTCTATATTTTTCTAAATATATTTTTATTTTATTTAGATTACATCTATATTAAAATAGTAATTGGTTTGTGAAGCTTATTAATACGGTTAACAATTATCTTTTCGCACAAAGTAATAAAAAACTTGTTACTTGTTGAGTAAGAAATAAGTATATTGTATGTATTCAGCCGTTTTTACTTCACTCTTCTTCACTTCGACTTCACATGTCTTTCGAAAACTTGCTAGGTTTTTTCAGACATGTAGGTATCCTCGTGATGTTTTCCTTCACCGTAAGGCAAGTGGTAATCATGTTAGAAATGATTCGCACATGAAAATATCAAAAGTGTTGAGACCCGGGATTTGAACTCGCTTCACTTGGTTTCCCAAGCGACCAACGTTACCACTGGGCTACCACTGACTTTTGTATTGGGTGTATTGTATATTCGCAGTAAATAAAAAAAATATTAACGCTATGCAAACATCATGAATATTTAGTAACGAGTTGATACAAACCGTAGTCGTCATCGAGTTGTTTAAAATGCTTATTAGAACAAACTATTGTCATACATATAGGTGCATTTACATGGCAAGTAATAAAGACTGTCGCGATCTCATGTTACCGTTTATGGAATCCTATGACTCGTTTTATACTTACGCACGACGATCTGGGTCGTTTTACTAATTAACTTCCCTGAACAGTGAACAGCCCCTACTACGTTTTGTGGAAATTAGCACATCAAGTTTCAAAAGGCGAGAATTTGGTCTTTAGTATTTTTAATTAGTGCAAAGAACGGTTTGCAGGTAATTTTCACGGAAAATTGGACTCTCCGGGGAAATTAGGTATTTGTAACAAAAAATGCGTAATATTGAGATAAGGATGGGGTGCAAAATTTTTTTTGTCAACGGTCTTGTGTTTCGTCTGACCCTGATTAATACTGGTGAAATACTTTAGTAATATAATACTTTTTATTTTGTGTTACTAATTAGAATTGTTATATTTATAAGACCTTTTTCTTTGTTAGTTGGATATTTATATTAAAAAAAAAAAACTTTTACTTGATATTTTCTTTTCTTTGTGGGATGGACCGAATAATTATAATGACTTTTCTACGTTCTACGTTTTCCAATACTATTTGAGATGTAATTCCGAATGCCACGTCTTATCTTTACTAGATCAAAGAGTAATATAATCTAATACAACACAATCTCGAGGGGATGATGTAATTTTAATAATCAAACCATCGGCTTTCATACAGAAGCCAATCTGAATCATATTAGCTATACATATTTTTACCTTAAAATGATTACCACAAAAGCATTAATGAAATACACAGACTGCACCCACAGGAGCCTATTTGCTACTCCAAGTCTTAATCTATCTGTGTACAAAATTCCATCCAAATCCGTTCAGCATACACAATCACATATAACTTTCGCATTTATAAATAGTGTTATAATATATTTTATTTCATTTTATTTCCAGTTAATAAACAAATTCGATGACTTGTTATTCACAAAGAATGATGAGAATTTCGTCGAGGCGTTCGCAATATTCTGCGGTATGGGCATCCACAACACACATATGTATGAAAAGGCAATCACGGCAATGGCCAAGCAGAGCGTGACGCTTGACGTAAGTCGCCATTACTTACGTTTCTATTGTGACGACGTGGACACTGGACGATATTCGAGATTATAATTGTTTATTCTACATCAACTAGCTGCTACTTGTGATTGATTAGAAATTACGTTTTAATTATATATCGAACATAAAAACACATTTTATTATTATTCTGTTCGAAGATTACAATTTTTTCTCATAAATTGTCCTTGTCTTGTGTAATGGATGTGTACGTGTGTGTGGCGTATTAGTTTTGGTTATAATAATCGATTTTTATATATATCTAAAGTTTTATAATATTTGAGTTATTTGTTGTGCATTAGTACCTATCTATATATTTTTAAGTACCTAATAATAATATTAACATTGCATTGGCTTATAGTTTTGCATAACGTCGTCTCAGTATTTACTTGTCCAAACGACCAGTATACCGAAAGAGTTTTTAATACAGAATTATAGTTTTTTAAATATTAATTCTATTGGTATTAAAAACACATTTTACCATAATAAAGCCAAAAAAGTTTTTTTCCCCAAATTGGAAATACATTTTTGTTTTGAAAATAGAGAATAAAGCTCTCTACTGAAAAGTACCAATAATGGTTAGTATTGGTTGTTTGAATAAATAAGAATTAAGACGAGGATAACGAAAGCAATTGTAATATTTTTGTAATTATTAAATTATTCATTAATTGTTAGTTTCTTCCATTAAAAAAGTATAGCAATACAGACGAAATATTAATTTTAAACTTTAGTTTATACAAAATTTATCTATATATCTATCTAAATGTACCAGATGAATTATAAACATGACTTATCCCTATTGTTACAGGTGTTAAGTTACCACGCCTCAGCTTCTTTAGATGACGCTCAGAGATTACGGGTGAGTTAATAATAAAAATAAATTGTATGTAATAACTATATGTATATGTATTGTATTCAGCCCTTTTTAATGTCCCACTGATGGCCACGGGCTTCCCTTCAATACGAGGGTAATCAGGCCAAAGTCCACCACGCTGGCCAAATGCGGGTTGGCGGACTTCGCATGTCTTTCGAAAACTGGCTAGGTTCTCTCAGACATGCAGGTTTCCTCACGATGTTTTCCTTCACCGTAAGGCAAGTGGTAATCATCTTAAAAATGATTCTTACATGAAAATATCATAGGTGCGAGATCCGAGATTTGAACCTGCTTCACTCGGTTTCTCAAGCGAGCACGTTACCACTGGGCTACCACTTTACTATACGTAGATGTGACTGTATTTTTTTATTAGAAATTCTAAATTACATGTGGCTGATAATATTTTTTGTCTTTTTCTTGAGGAATAAACTGTCAGAATCTATACGATAATTTGCTTTTCGTGTCACTTTGTTGCCCTCTTACAGTCTACATATATTAATAATCATCTGGCTTAGGACGAGATTTAAAGATCTTACTCCCACTTTACTTTATGACAAGTTCTAGTTTTAGTAACCGCTTACTTTACTTTAAAAATCCGTACATTGCTTAGTAAAGACAGAGAAGTTATTATTGGTTATTTTGGAATCAAACTACACTTTGATTCCATAATAACCAATAATGACTTATTATTATCCGAATAAGTTACATATTAGCGTACATTAATATCAATTTGTGTGGGAAAAAGGGCTTTTTAATTTATTCAGGTTATTAAACTAAGAAATATGCCATATGAAAATGTCAACTACGTTTATGATTGAGAAATAAAACTTATTAAAAAAGTAAACTTCGGAATGTTAAGTTTACTTTGCAAAGACGACTTCAACTTTTTAATGTTACGGTTATGAATCTAAGCCCTTAGCGGTCTAAGGCTCCATACCTAAGGCCACTGGGTTCATTCCTAGTTCGGATCAAATATTTATATGGAGATATTAGTAATTTTTTCGGTTTGAGTGGAGGTCTTTCTGCATGTTTTATATACACTATTATGACCGAAAACAACCTATCTATGTACTAAGGGTTGTCGAGTACCGAACGTAATTTATTATTAATGTCTATTATTTATTGAGTTCTTATCTGATGACGTAATTCAATGTTAAACAGTTCGACAAAAACAGATTAATCAGTATAAATATTTACTTCATTTGGGAGTCAAATTCGCGACCTACGGTTTTGTGAGCCTAGTAGTATTACCAGTCAGGCACGTGCTGTATAGCCCTATTTCGGCCATCGATATTGTTTCTTGAATTAATTACAAGTATTATTTATATAAATTGGTCTCAAAATTGTGTACATATAGTTTTATTATCAAAGATATTGATACGAACACAGTATGTTTTAATATTTTTGATCAAAACATTAATAGGTACGAGTATATGTCGATCAATGAGTTCGTGATTCCTATAAATTTGACTACTTGTTATTTTTATACGCCTTCAGCTATTTATTTAACAGTAAAAAAATAGATTTATATTCTATTGGTTATAAGTAGCGATAGTTTATAATGTTTAAACGCATATTGACATACAGATAAGATCTGTCTAAGATGGATGGTGTTTTCTTTTCATTTTCTTGTGGGAAAAATAAAAAAAACGCGCTTAGACTGCGATAGTTACTTATATGGCTATTAAAAATATTTGTATCAATCGGAACTTGAACCCGCGTCCTCAGGGGAGAAAAATTCCAACCACTTCTTTTCAATCTTTTTTTTCAAGCTTTTGGATCAATCTTTTTTATACAAATTTATATGTTTTTATATAAACGTACCTGTATAATCATATATACCAACTAGCGACTCACCCTCGCTCCGCTCGGGTTCGTCCCTAACGTAGGCCACCCTTATCACTTAGGGGTATGGAAAATAGGTAGTAGCCGATTCTCAGACCTACTGAATACGCATATAAAATTTGGTAAAAATCGGTAAAGCCGTTTCGGAGGAATACGGTAACTAACATTGTGACATGGAAATTTTATATATTAGATAATATCATTACAGAATTTAAGGATACCTTCCTCAGTCCACTTCAATCTTCACGAGCTGGCGTTCGATGATATAGACCTAACAGACGACGACACACTACGCGCCTGTCTACGAATGTTCCTAGATCTAGACTTTGTGGAAAGGTTCCACATAGATTACAGCGTACTTTGCAGATGGTTGCTGAGTGTTAAGAAGAATTACCGCAATGTAACTTATCATAACTGGAGGCATGCGTTCAATGTCGCCCAAATGATGTTTGCTATATTAACGGTAAGTTTTTTATAAAATTCAGCAAATTCGTCCTTACATATTTTTAAATCTCATTCTAGATTAGTTTGGACTAACATATATGTATTATGTTAATTTAAATAGTTTTTTTTTGCGTTTAAATAGATCAAGAGATACATATTTTTACTCCTTTATTTCTTCTTAAGTTTGTTTTGAAGTCAGTTATATTTAGGTTATTAGGCCGGTTATAGTTATTACGTAATTTACATGGTCAAAATGGTTAGTTTTGATTTATGGTAACACTTTGAAAAAAGTCAAGTTATAACTAGATATAAATCAATCCAAATATCTTGTTCCAAAATAAAATTTCATTTCATTTAGGTTAAAATTAAATGTTTAACCAAAATAGATTACTAACGAGGGTTATTAAAATAATTGAACTAAATTGATTGTAAATATTTCACTGTAAATATTCATAAATGTCACTTCCGTATGTAACCTTTAAGCCTTAAGGTATGCAATTAAAATAATAATTTAAAAAAATTCCAGGAAACACAATGGTGGAAGATTTTTGGTGAATTAGAGTGTTTGGCTTTAATCATTGGCTGTTTGTGCCACGACCTTGATCATCGGGGGACCAATAATTCTTTTCAAATCAAGTAAGTATAGCAGATATTATAAATAAAACAAGCGGCTCACCCTCGCTTCGCGTTTTAGAAAGGCACAAAGAGATCTATCCCACGGGAACCGTTCAGTTTTCCGGGATAAAAAGTAACCTGCTGTTTGACCGGCAATATAAGATATCAGCATGGCAAATTTTACTAAATTAGGTGCATAAGTTGTTGTGTACTAAGCTGTATAAGTTACTATAGTTTTTTAGTCTTACTCTTTAATTTTCCGGAATGAAAAGTATCTAAAATGGTGACCGGAGATATAAGGTACCACCATGCAAAATTTCACTTAAATCGGTCTAACAGTTTCGGAGATTAACCTGTACAAACAGACAAACAGACGGAGAGTGTTACATTTTAAAATATACTGAGTTTAATACATGTTATAAAGTAGTCGTAAAAGATAAAATAGCACTAATTTAAACATATTTCTAATACAACACAGATAATAAATATATCTATTTTAAAAATAATCGTAAATAATTTCATAAATATTTTATTTTTTATGTCTCAAATAAAGTTTAATATTAAAATTTATTTTTTCAGGGCGTCTTCTCCTCTTGCAATGTTGTACTCGACATCTACAATGGAGCACCATCATTTTGACCAATGCCTAATGATTCTAAACTCACCTGGAAACCAAATTTTGGCAAACCTTTCTTCGGAGGATTATGAAAAAGTCGTCAAAGTCTTAGAAGACGCCATTTTGTCCACCGACTTAGCTGTATATTTTAGGTATGTAATATATTGTTATTAATTTACATAATATAAAATTATTATTATTTCTTCTATATAAAATGAGTGTCTCATATTTTTAGTACTTTCGAGGCTGTTAGTCGATTTTCACTAAGGGCAAGTGTTAGGATTAACCATCTACCAACCACTAAACCCAATCAAGTTTCACAGATATTTTGCACATAGAAAAAGCTTGCCACCACAATACAATGTATAAATTAATAATATTTAAAATATAAATTTTAAAATATAAAATTCAAAATAAAAAAAAATTGAATGGTAGGTATTTGCAATGATGTATTACTTATGCAGTTACTACCTGTAGCGAAACTACCAATAGTAAATTAAGTTTTACTATATACTATCGTAACTGTTATACTAATCTTCTTTTGTCAGTCTTTTTCAAACATCTCTACTCTGATCCATACATAATAATTTTGAATTAGTTAATACAAATATGTTAGGGCATTAACACACAACACCATCTAGTTCCATCGTGAGTTACGAGGCTTGTGTTATGGATACTAGATAGTTGATACACTTCACAAATTTATATATTACTTTAAATACATATATATTATAAATATAAACACTCATGATTGGAGTACAAGTATTTGTGCTCATTACACAAATTAATGCTTCCAGCGAGACTCGAACCCGCAACTGCTAGCACATCAAGTCAGGTCACTACAGATTGAGCCAAACATTTTGTTAAATTCGTCAATTATTTATTTATTACTAGTAGAACCCGCGACTACACTCGCGCTTTCTGTAAAGGTAGGTTTTATACACATTTTTCTGGCTTATTTTACCCCCTTATGGATCAATTTCGAAAAGTGCCAAAATACGTATTTAATTGTATTGAAGAGCATTAATACCGCGTTTCAAGTAATTCTGGTTAAACATATTTTTTGGGTTGTATTATGACGTATTTTCCCGTGAGATTAAGGTAAACTCCCACTGTAAAAAGTAGCCCTTGTCACTCTCCAGCCTACCAACTATCTCCAGACAAAAAATCACGCCAATCCGCCGAGCCGTTTCGACGTGAAAAAAGGACAAACAAACAAACACACTTTCACATTTATAATATCGGTATAGATATCATAGATCAAGACATAGGTGTACTTATATGCGAACAATCCGATCCCCCAGCAAGCGCAACGCCTTCATCTCGCTGGTGGAGTCTGCGCGCGGCGGCGGCGTGGAGTGGGGCGCGGGCGCGCGGCGCGGGCTGCTGCGCGCCATGCTCATGACGGCGTGCGACCTCGCCGCCATCTCCAAGCCGTGGCCGGTGGAGCGCCGCGTGGCCGCGCTCGTCGCCGGCGAGTTCTTCCGGCAGGGCGACTTGGAGCGCCAGAATTTGAATTTGACGCCGATTGTGAGTTATGTTTGTTCGTGTGTTTCGATGTGAAATTACTTTCGATTTTGAATTATAGTGATATATATAAATATGTGCAACTAGTGACTCGTCCTTGCTTCGCTCGAGTTCGTCTCTAGGTACGTTTTGACGGTTGGTATGGAATAGAGAACCGTACATTTTTCCAAGAGAAAAAGTAGCCTATGTGTTATTCCAGACTATAATCTATCTCTGTGCCAAATTTCATCCAGATCCGTTGAGCCGTTCTGGCGTGAACGAGTAACAAACATCCATCCGTCCGATCTATCCTAGATGGATCCATCCATCCTCACGAACTTTCACATTTATAATATTAATATAGATTAGTTAGTCACTAACCTAATGCATATTATCCGTTGACAATTTTTAAGGTATTTTTAAAACATTTATTATTGTTCGTTTTTATTTGCTGTAGTATATAACTTTATTTTTTATATTTTTCAGGACATTATGAACAGGGATAAGGAAGACCAGCTTCCCGCTATGCAAGTCAAATTCATTGATTCTATATGCCTCCCGATATACGAAGTAAGTTTTATAATTTGATAATTTAGTTTCCAAATCATTTTTTTTTTCACAACACCGTAAGTTATATTACTTACTATAATCCAGATAATCATCTTAAATATTATTGTACTAGCGATTAGCGATTTACCTTCGCTTCGCTCGGGTGCGTCCCAAGTGCGCGGATTTTGTTCACGATTTCATGGGTTTTAATTTTTTGTGCGGAACCCTGATTTTTTACTAAAATTAAAGTAGCTTAAGTTACTCCTTATAACATCAGATATCTGCCAGGGACAGTCCCGTAAAAAATGATCCAGTCGTTTTGGAGATTAGCCAGAACAAACAGACAGACAGACAAAATTTAAAAAAATGTTTTTTTCTTATAAGTACTGTATATACTTTCATTTGCATTTACTAAAAAGTTGTTATGTTGACATTACAAACAGACATTTCAGTTTTATTTATATCCCTCACCGCGTCGGGGAATCGCTAAGTTAAATTAAATATAAACCAGAATACAAATAGAAAGAAGATTGATAATGATAAAGTATTAGCGGTCCTCGACGCGGCGACGCTCATCATCAAAATATTAATAGATACTTTTAATGCAGTCAAAAGGCTAAGAGATATTTTTTTTTTATTTTCTAGAGCTTTTTTTGTGTCGGGGGTTAGTTAAATTTTTTTATTTTATAATTTATTACTTTTTTTAAATATATTCCTATCGGCCAAGGTTACACTTTTTTTTTACGTTGGGAAATGCATTTACGCACGAGGTGTGGGACTCACCGGCAAAGCCAGTACTACCCACTAAAACCCAACAAAACCTTCCCCCGTCTTAATGGAGCGTCGCAGGATCGCTTACGCATTCAACTACGACGCCCCGCATGGTACACCGCCCTCCGAAGTGGGCCACCTCCCTGTGCGTTTCTTGGCTTCGCGCCCGGTGTATTGCCGGGCACTACTGAGCCCCCCCACCACGACAAGCCAAGGTTAGGTTATAAATAAATGCTTTGCACATCATTGTCATATAAACGTCCATAAAAAATGCAACCTTACAATTGTGCAATAAAGAATAAATAAAATATAATAATAATAAATATGATCATTTTTCTCCATGTTCAAACTTTAAAGTAAATATTTTCTTGACTACCGATACTTAATTAACCCCCGACGCTAAAAGAGGGGTGTTTGACGTCGATTTCTGTCTGTGTGCGTCTCTCAAACGGATGGACCGATTTTGATGCGGTTTTTTTTCATTTGAAAGCCAGTTTCCTTGCGGTGGTTCTTAGCTATGTTTAATTCATATCGGTCCAGCAGTGTAAGAGTGCAGTGTAGTGCTCTTTTCCAAAATGACGTAAGGCATTTTGGCGTATGATTACTCAATTAAGTGCTTCACGCCTGCTAGTGGAATGGTTAAATGACAATAAATTTGCGTAAGGGGTTTTAAAATTTTTAATTTATATATAAAATTATTTCAACAGGCCTTCGCTGCTTTATCGCCTGCGCTACAACCGATGCTGGACAGAGTGAAAAGCAACCGCGCTCATTGGATCGAGCTCGCGAACAATGACAAATATACAGGAGAAAAATACGATTACGCCCTAGAAAAGGATACCACGGAGAGAAATGACAAATCAAGTATCAGTTCCCACGTCGACGACACAGAAAATACATACGAGGGAGATAGCAGCGGGGCTGTCAGTTTGTCCTCCGACAACTCGAAGTTCGATAATCTCGAAAACCCAGTCGTCGGTCTCGTCAACAACAACGCTCTAACTCTACCGCGAGATCCTAAAATCTGTCAACTAAACGAATAGAAACGTCCAGAACCTCATTTAGACCAATAGTTAGGTAGGTAACGCTTACATATTGATCTATTTTACTTTTTAATCGAAGTCACATTAATATATAATCTGTCGTCTTCCTCTGACATTTATATGAAATTAATTTCTTTCGTATATCGTTTAATATGGAAACTATGAATTTACATATATCTATATATGTTTATACATAGGTCAGTATATGGCGGTTTTATTGTAATTCTCAGTGTTTATCCAGTTTCCGTACCTCGTCGTTATGTCGTGTTCCTATTGGTCGGATGCGGCGCGCGTGTGTCTCATTTGAATTTGGAACGCGTTTTCATATTTTTGTTTTTAGAATCACATTCAAATGTTTCGTTATTCCAAATTCAAAATTACGTTTTTATTATAATTTTTAAGGCGAATCAAAATTTAAATTGGAATTAGACTTTTCTCGTTTTGACCAATGGCTAGATAGCTATCGATTTACTAATGTAATTTTCAGTGTTTGATTTTTATATGACGATGTGTCGCTGCGTGTGTGATATTTTATGGGTAGATGATAGTTCGAATTTAATGCGAGTTACTAATTAACCGCCATGAGCAATTGTTTAGGTATAAAGAGTACGTGTGTTCGTCCATCGTACTTGTATAGAATATCTGATTAACTTACCTCATTCGTCTATTCCTACTGTAACATGGAGTTGTTCGTGTGCTAGTTTTGGTATCATTTAAGATACTTGTATGTTTTAGAGTGCGACATTTCGAGAGCATTACAATCGGGGCCTAACTGTCGTGACGTTTAGCAGATAAATGACTATGATACCAAAAATTCTTATATAGTTTTAGGTATTGTACTAAATTATTCTTTAATCGATCCCGAGAAATGCAAACTTTTAGTATTTTCATCATATATGAATTGCACTAGGATGCTATTTTTAATTTTAGAACATAAGCTACATAATAGATATCGACGTGTATTAATATATGTGGACAATAATCGTATGATTTTCGATCGCACCCTTCTTTGTAAATATATATTATTAACAAAATTAACATTTTCCTTTGGTAAGTACTTATTTTTTGAATAAAGGAATCGCAATTTTCTTACGTGTGCTTTAGGAACTGCCGCCTCGCGATCTTTACAGTTTCCAACCATTCCAAAAATATACAAATGTCGGTAATATAATGTTTTTCTAATAGATTTTCGAGCATGTCAATTAAATTTTGATAACATTTTTGATTTAGTGTCATAATATTATCTCGATTTGTTTTTGTTTCCGAGCATTAATTTGTTCTCGTGTTGCGCTTTAAAGAAGAATATGTCGAGATGACGTTACTATTCAATACCACCGCTATGTATAAATATTGCTCGTAATATTCAAATTTAAATATGAAACGATTTTTTGAAATATGAGATTTTCTAAAAATGTAAAAAAATACAAATTATATATCATTTTTTTTTTCAATAGATACAAACTTTCTTAGAATGTAGGATGATATTGTACAGTAATTTTTTCTCATCTTTACTAGATGTTAGTAGATCTGTTATTTTCCTACATTTCAAACAAGTTTATGGTTTCTTTGAAATTACAATGTTTTAGAAAATAACATATTTCAAAATTGCATATAACATTATTATAAGGACATTGGCTCGTCGGAAAATGAATTTTTGATATAAATCTTTCTCTTACTTATTAACAAATAAGACGAGTTTTAGATTTATTTAACTAAATTATATTCTAAGTCTCTATATGGCCGTTTGTCCCCCGATATTTTAAAATTATATTCTGCCAATTCCTACGGTACAATTATGACCAATTAATATCATTTAATAAAATTAAAAAAATATATATATAATAAGTATAATTGGAATAACTCTCTCTATAACGTTAGCTATTTTCATAAAAATCTCAAATTAATCGTGGTAATGAAATATGTACAACGTAAATTTTAAGATCGCTGTAAGTATTATTAGAAATAAATAGAAAAATAATTATTGTAATTCACTATGACGAGTCGTGTGGTGTGTGAATAAATATGGAGGTTGTTTTGTTCCAAACAAAAATGTTATTTATTTATGAATAAACAAATTTTGAAATAAATGACGATTTTTATTTTAGTACCACCTACGTATAAAATGGTCGTGTAATTATTAATTTTTAAATCATATTCCATATCAAAGGTAAGTAAGTTACATTTTAATTGGCTTTAGTTTTTAAATTAATTTCAATATTTTAGTTTAAAGCAAAAAAAAATATGACTGCAGTATCTATATTAATAAAAATTTTGAAACCACTGATCTGATTCTGAAAATTTTTTCACTAAAAACATTTAAACTTGCTTTGGGCTTGGCCGTAGTTGGGTAAAATGAACAGTTATTATCGCCATTTGCTATAGGCTGTTAGATTATTTACTATAGGCTATTAGTTTGCTATAGAATATTAGATATCCTAATAAAATTGATTGAAATCTAAAAAGAAACGGCATTTGATGATTTTTCGGTGTACGCTACTTGAACAGTATGAAAAAAACAACTCAATATATGGCAAATAGAAATCTTATTTTGATTGGTTATTAAATGGATATTTATAGGTTTTTTATTCTATTATTATGAAAATTGAATGAATGAAGTCTTTCTTTACAAATAAATTTAAATTATCAAAAAAACCATTACTAAAACTTAAACGTGACGTGGGACGTTGTGTTTACATAATATTTAATGAGATTAAATGCTATTAGTTCTTGAGTATTGTACATGATATCTTCAATAAATATTTATAATGTATATAATAATATTTATAATTTCTATGAAATAATATCACCTCCACAATCACAATGTGTGTAATAGATAATTATTATATAGTGTTTTTGTTTTATCGATATCTTATCGATTAATTAAATAAATAAATATTTAAAGAATCTCCTTATTTATCTGCAATATATAAATATATGTAATTTTACATATAGGTAAGTTTAAAATTGACTCTTTCGACATTGCCTATATAGGTCAAGCCATTTTTTGAAACAAAGACCTTTTTTGAAAAGTGGTACCAAAGAGGAAATGGGAAGCATCAATTTACGAGTAATATATTAAAAAAAAGAGCGAGCGCGGCCAAGCCAGAGCGTAAAATATTTACTTTTAATTGTACCCCTTTCCGATTTTTTTTTTCTTTTTGCACAAAGGTTGTCTGGAAGAGATCGCTTACTTAGCGATAAGGCTGCTGTTGTACTATTTCTGTTATTGTACTATTTCTTCTATACAATAAATAATACATATACTCGTATATGTCATGTAAATTTGTGATGTACAATAAAGAATATTTGATTTGAAATGAAATGTATATCTATACAGATAAATAATTGAAGGGTCTGTTTGTAATGTCAAAATAACAGCTTTTTACTAAATGCATATGGATGTATACACAGTACGTACACCAAAACAACATTTTTTTATTATTTTTGTCTGTCTGTCTGTTTGTTCTGGTAAAATCTCTGAAATGGCTGGACCGATTTTAACCGGACTTTAACTGGCAGATAGCTGATGTAATAAGGAGTAACTTAGGCTACTTTTATTTTAGAAAAAAATAGGGTCCCACGAAAAAAAACCAATGAAAAATTTCATAACATCCGATTCAAATAGCGAAATTGTATACATACAATCATTAAATGTATGCGAAATTATTGCTATTGTATCATTTAAAGTGTAGGATTGTTACATAACACGAGCTATTAAATTATAGAATAACACTAGCTGACCCGGCAAACGTTGTTTTGTCATATAAATAATTTCCTAGTAATTTCCTAGTAAAATAAGGGTTGATCGTAGAAGAGTGAAAATTGAGGATTGTATGTATTTTTGTATGTTGTATCATAAAATAATAGAAATTAAAAATTTTGTCTAAAAAATAAAAAATAAAATTTAGGTGTGGACTACCCCTAACATTTAGGGGGATGAAAAATAGATGTTGGCCGATTCTCATAGATACCGGATAAGCACAAAAAATTTCATCAAAATCGGTCAACCCGTTTCGGAGGAGTATGGCAACGAAAACTGTGACACGAGAATTTTGTATATTAGATTTGCAGAAGCCTATGAACATATTTCCGCGACCTTTCTCGGCCTTAACTGTTATGAAGACCACTCTTAATTTATTGCTTACAAACATAAAAATCGGCAGTTAGAAAGTGTAGAAACTGGTATTACCAGTATGCTGGAACGCAACTGATATTTTTATCTCAGCCTTGTTTTGTAATTGGCCAGCTCGCACGACGATGTGAAGTGTCATTTATTTTGAAGTTTTGATATTGTTTTGTTTTGATTGCTGTAAAAGTTTTGTATTTCATCGTTTAAAGCGTAAGTTATTATTTTATTTTACTAAAATGCCGTTATTAGATATAACTAACCCAGCGGTCATAATATTTCTCATCGAAAACTATGAAAAGGAAAATCGTTTGCGTCTTAACTGGATTCATAAACATTGGGAGCAAATACAACAAGCTGCGACGCTTACTCGAGAACCGACGAATTATTATGAAACTGATGTTTTTGCTCATAACATGGTAAGTGGTATGGCTACAATTACCAGAGACCATGTAGTAGCTGGCTACAATAGAAGAAAAACTCCTATTCGCGACGGGACTTTCATACCAGGCGTAAAACATCTTCGACATGGCCATTCATTGGTAGATGTTGGACTAGGGGATCCCAAAGAGGACGAAAGGCTAAGCAGACCTGATACAGATATGTCCACTGACCCTAAAATGCGTCCAGTAGATCCTGTAATAACGGAAATAATTTACAAATCAAAACCGGAATTTGGTAGAGTACAATATTTAAAAAAGCGTGAAAAAACTTGGCCGGAGAAGAAATACTATTTTGCTGAAAGTAGTAATTTCGAGTACGGCTGGAGACTAAAAGATAGCGAGTTGTGTCAAAAGCCGCAACATGGAAGGTGCTGGCATCTTACCAAAGCTTTACGTAGTAGGGTAGGCCCGCAACCTGATCCACGTCATTATAAATCGTCGGATTCGCTGAGCCCGACCTATTGCGCTGGCATTTAGATAGATGGCGCTGCTTATAAAATGCCTATAATTTTACTTGTTTTAAAACTACAATATTTTTTTTCAAGAAAATTTGGGTTTGCTTTAAATTTACTGTTTTGTATAACTGTTTTACCGAATAAAGCTAAGAAACATATTTTGTTTGAACTTTTCTTAAAGCAAAATGATGAAGGCTTGATACTATCAGTTCAATTCATTATCTTATGAAATTGCACAGTATTCAGGAAATAAAAAGAACTCTTAGTTAACATTTTAAATAGAAATTTAATTAAAATTATTTTAAAGTACCAAGTAATTTAATACCTAGTGTAACATGTAGTAGTGTATAAACATTTAAAGGGACGGTAATTAAAATATGCACATAAGAGTGGACAAAACAATACTAAAGCAACTTGCAGTCATTTCCATCAATAACAGTGCGCATGTCACTCTATATCTGTCCATCTCTTTTCGTTATTTTAAAGGAGGAAGGAGAGCTAAAATAACCTCAAAAAGCTACGCATGCGTAAATATTTTAGGGGTGAAAAGTCCGTGGCATGTTTCATGGGAAACTACGACCATAGTTACTTTAGGCGCCGAGGGTGCCAATTTAAAGTATTATATTTATTTAAATTTTGTGATTTTCAATACCTCGTTTTCCTATAAATTAGATACAAATTATGAAATCCCTATGGGTACCCATGGCTTTAATTAAAATACTGTGAATAATAGATTTAGAGAATATTTTGTAATTGTGATGTGACATTCGCCATATTATTATACTACGAGTAAGTTATTATTTTTAATATATTATTCAGTATGATAAGATTCAATTATGTGTTAGCTATTCATAATTTTTAATTTCCATGTACCTACGTAAATATTCAAAATAAATCTTTATATTTTTTTTATTATGATGCAATTCTATTATAATTATCACTCAAATCATGTGTTAATTAAGTATATACATATATTTTAGTCATTGTTTGAATTGTACTTTTAATGATATAATGATAGTTATATTATTAAATAAATATAGGTACATATATGATTCACCCAGAAGTAAATTCTTTATCTCAAAGTAATCTTGTCTTGAATTATTTTTAATGTTTAAAGTAGCATTTAGTGGTCTTCTTTTCTTACATCTAATCTTAATATGGTCCAATAACATTATTATTGTTCAACGTATATGCAATATTATATATAATACTCATATATAATACTCTTGGTAACTCGTTTAGAATTTCCAACATCACCTTGTATTCTGTAAATTTTAATCAAAACCTCGCTAAGTTAATTTATAGTTTCGTCGTAGAATATTAATTTACTCTTAACAGCCGGGCTCGCTCTGCTAGTAGTTACTTATACTATGAAGAAAATTGCCTATGATATAAGTATAAAAACGCGTTCTTAAAACAAACTTTCTACGCGTGTATGAAGAGTTTCTATGGTGACCTTCTTCATAATCAAACCAAGATATCTAACATGAAGGTTAATTGTAGGTACGAGTACATAGATATGTCTAATGCCAATGGCAAGTTAAATAAAATTAGTAGTTTATAGAAATGGGTTACAAATTAACCGACATACGAATAAAGTGTTTGCTTTCAAATCAAAGTTAATAACACTGATTTAGTTAGTTCTCGTGGGATATTCCGAACTTTTTAAGGTCACTAGTTCGTGTAATATATGCATTTGTAACTGTGGAATATACGTTTTTTACTATAAACACACAAACCGGTAGACGTACATATGTATACTTTTTAAATAAATTATAAAGAGAAAGTATTCTATGTGTATACTGTTGAAAATAACATCAATACATCATTCTCAGATTGTATTCAGCCCTTTTAACATCCGCATTCTGGGCTGCCCTTTAATGCGAGTGGGGATAAGGTAGCCCACCACGCTGGCCAAATGCGGGTTTGCATGGCACATGTCTTTCAAAAACTTGTCAGGATTCCTCACAATGTTTTTCTTCGTCGTAAGCCAAATGATAATCATGTTGATAATGATTCACATATTAGAATATAATAGGTACGACAACATAACAGTAAAGTTATTTTAAGTTAGTAAGTGACCATGGATGCTGTAAAGCATTCGAAACGTCGGGAAACAAAAATGCAAATAAATCCGCGACAAAATCCGAAAAGATAGTTTTATTTAAAATGTCAAATATTCGCGTAAATCTAAGAAAGTATTAAAGTTATTTTAGTTATGTTAGTTATTTTAGTTCATTGAAAAAATGATTATTTTATTTCAAATGTAATTAAACGTACTACACTTATTGGGCATATGATATAAAATAGGATTTTACGTATATATACATATTTTTTCATTTATTTTGATTGTTTCCTTTGAATGAAAGTCTTTTGAAGTTTGTAGCGAAATTAATTCATGTGTAAAAGTTTTTTTGTAGGGGAGAAAGAAACATTCCAATGAGTACCTAATACTGTAGTAATAGTGTAGTAAAGTTGTAGGTTGTATTATAACGTGTTAACCCGTGGGATAATCTCCCGCTATAAAAAGTGACCTATGTCACTCTCCAGCTCTCAAACTATCTCCACACAAAAAATCATGCCAATCCGTCACTCTGTTTTGACGTGAAAGAAGAACAGACAAAAAAAAACAAACAAACACACTTTCAGATTTATAATATCAATATGGATGTATAAATAATAATGGAAAATTGACTCAAATTGTTTCTAGTTACTGTTTATCCTTAAAACAAAAAAAAAATATAAATTTAAGAGCTTGTGTTTTGTCAATATCGTTATTTAAAAAAAAAACTTTGTGTGTTTGAATATACTTAGGATGTAAGCTCGGGAACTACTTCTCAGATTATGAAAGTATTTTTATAGTGGCAATAAAGCTAAAATATTACTAATGTCAAAAATATTAAAAAAGGTTTTCTTCTGTTCTCATACTAATAAAATAAATCAAATAATTGAAAGAATAATTTGTTATGTCACAAATGTGTGGCATTTTATAGTCATGTGAGTAAATTTTGCCGTTTTGATTTTTGCATCAACATGTTTCATATTTCATCAGTGGAACAAACTGATAGGTACACTGAATATTAGAGGATTGTATGTATGTATTAGACTACATCATTTATGAACATAGATTTTTATGTGGTTGAAATTGTATTTTATTCATTTAATGCCAAATAAGATGAGAGATAGGTATGGTTGCTCAGTAGTAAGGAACCTGCTTGGAAAACTAAGTAATGCAGATTCAAACCTCTGTCTGGCACGTCTCAGAATTACCAATTGTCAAAACAATAAAGAAAATCATCGTGACTTGTTTGCATTTGAGAGAATCTAAATAGTTCTGGAATGACGTGTAAAGTCCACTGCTAACCACTTAGCCAGTGAGGTGGTCTCTACCCTCATCCCCCTTGCATAAGGAGAGGCCCGTGCCCAGCGGTGTAATGTTAAAAAGGGTTGAATTATATTAGAGATTGGCTTCGATTATTTTAACGCTCAGCGCGTTACATGATAACTTTTTCGAATATTAATATGTACTATTCTTCAAACTGTTTCATATTATGTAGAGAAATAAGGTAAATAAATAATTAATTAACTTCTCGTAGAAGTTATAGCATATACTTGTATACTTAGTTATCCTTTCTATTTAGATATCTATATTTTATGTATATTTCCAAATATGTGAGAAAATTTTTTAACGCCATACATATGTAGACTAAGAGAAAGTTCGTTAAAAGTTCAACTAAACAAAACTTTCAAAATATGAAATATATTATGTATGGACGTAATTATCAAAAAAATAATATTTACATTTACATACTAGATTAGGTACAGTAATTTAGAAAGCCTCAAAACTTAAATCATTAATATTTTAAAAGCTTTTACAGGTATCTCAAATTGCAGTAAACATTTTAATCTAACCTAGTTAGGTATTTTTAAAGTAAAATTGTACCAGAGTTTAGTTACGCAAATAATGTATGTATAATGGACGTAAATGAATATTAAACACGATGCCATTGTCCAGTCGACAAATAAATAGATTTAGAATAGCTTTGTAATCGTTGATACACGAAATAATTTTACTGGACATTACAAAATATTTTCTCATTTCCGTAGAAACTATAAACATTAACCATAGGTTAGTGTAGTGCTATCTATTCGATATATTTGTCTTATATTTTTAAATGCTTTTAACTGACAGAGATATATATGTAAATTTAAATTCTTGCTTTTATTAAGTAAATATGCTTATCAATACGACCAGTAACCTTCCAACCATCGCTCTAGTTTACGTGCACATGATACCATATTGGTATTTTAGTTTTGTTAATATTATTATTTTGTTTGTTCAAAGGTTTGCTGATTATTAAAACGCTGGACACGATGTCAAAATGTAAGTACTGATATTACAGTAAATTTTGTTTGTAATTTCCTCTAAACGTAGCTTATTATAAAGATATTATAGACTCATTATTAAACAAAGTATATTATGATCTTAATAACTATTGTATTTTTAAGTAAATACTATTTTATTATTTACTTCATTTCTCATCAAATATTTGAATTCACATTGAAATTTATATAAGTCTAAGTTTGTGGATATGTTGTTTGTGCGTGCCATGGATTAAATGTTAGGTGAATGCTTACGATTATTTTCGTGCGGTTTCATCTTTAAATAGATATAGGTGCGTTAATTATTGTTTGCTGTGATACAAATGAAAGAAATAGTTTGGCTTCTATAAAAAAGTTAGTTGCTAGTATACTTTACTTTTTATTATTTGTTGTTCCCTATGTACATATACTACGGACATTATTTAAAATTCTTCCCAGGCTTAAAACGACATTTTCAGTTCTGATATTTTTTTAGTACAAAAAATTAGAAGCTTAATACTTGGAAATATTTTAACATATTGATGAATTACAATATAACAAAAATCTATACTAATATTATAAATGTGAAAGTTTGTGAGGATGGATGTATGGATGTTTGTTACTCTTTCACGCCAGAACGGCTGAAGTGAACTGAAGACTAGTTATATATTATTCCGGAAAAATGAACGGTTCCTGTGGGATAGATTTGTTTTAATCTAGGGATGAATCTGAAACAAAGCGAGGGCAAGTCGCTAGTGTTACATAAATAATAAAGTACCAAAAGCCGCAATGCAGGCTATCAGAAACTTCTACGCAACCTTCCGTTTCCGTTTTGTATAAGCATTCCACATTTTTACTCATTGTTATTAAAATATAATACCGAATTCTCCTATATTTCGTTTCATAGAGTTGATTTAACAAATAATACGGGTAATAAACATTGCTAGATAAAGACATCTTATATATAAAATTTCCATGTCACAATGTTAGTTACCGTACTCCTCCGAAACGGCTTTACCGATTTTTACCAAATTTTATATGCGTATTCAGTAGGTCTGAGAATCGTCTACTATCTATTTTTCATACCCCTAAGTGATAAGGATACGGGTGGTCCTCTCAGACCCCACCCCAGGGACGAACCCAAGCGGAGTGGGGTGAGTCGCTAGTAGCTTTATAAAACTTACCTAATACTTTCTTAGATTTATGCGAATATTCGACATTTGACATTTTAAACATAACTATACTTTCGGATTTAATTTGATTTTTGGTTTCGACGTTTTGAATGTTTTATAGCAAAATTGGTCCCGGGAAACAATTTCTCGACAACTCTTGTTTGGGAACCAAAATTCAAAATAAATGCACATTAACATCCGGAAAGAGTTTTATTTTACACTAGCAATGCCCGCGTTCAGATGAGCAAAAACCATAGTATACTCTTACAATTCAGTTTTTGTATTTTTTCTCAGAAAAGAGATATTTTCCCGCGGTAAAAAGTACCCTATCTGTTCACCCGGATAACCAGCTATCACCATATCAAATTTCATCAAAATCCCTCCAGTGATTTTTCTGTGATGCGGTAACAGACAGACAGACAGACAAAAATTCTGAAAACTATCGATTTAGCCTCTGCATCGATAATAACGTCTATTTCAATAAGATTTTCCAAAAAGAAATATTTAATGTACAGATTCAGCTTAGTTACAATTTTATAATATTATGTGTAGATAACTATAGTTAAAGTTACCTGTTATGGTTATTATGTAACTTACATTTATATAAAACTACGACACGCTACATTAGCCACGATACGAATTTATCGATTCTGAGAGTCCTACCTATTAAATTACTATTAGTCACGTGACGTTAAATATTATATACTTTCGTTATACTTTATTATATATATATATAATTTCACATTGATAAATTATACCATATTATTAAAAGTAAATATATAGATCGATATCAGCGAAGTTTCACAAAAGTGACATCTAATAAAAGAATTATTCTAGAAGTTATACGAAGAAGATGTATGAGTTATGTTTCATACAATTATATATTGTGTTTATAATATTAACCTTTGAAGTTAACCCATAAACTTCCATCAATATTTTTGTTAAATTTAACTATAAAATGTTTTCTGCAATTTTGTTATAAAAACGTACAGATTGTCTTAAAAATGAATTACCTACTGTTTCGTTTTAACTAATCATCGGGGGGCAACGCAGGGCCCCCGCCAATAGGTATTACAAGATTGTGTTGCTTCCGGTATGACTGTTGTGTGTCACATTTCTTGGCATATTCATTTATATTTTTGCGAAAATACATATCTACATAACGTTGCTAATACGTCCTATTTTGATTCCCTTTAAATGTCGTTAAGATGCTTGTGGGCCATTTCTATTAACTATTCGCCTACTGGTATAAATTTGACCATAGTCATTATTGAAATTTTGCGGAAAACATACATGATATATGAATAGAATTAAACTTTCTATATAAAAAAAAAACCAACTCTTTTCAAAAGTTGCTTTTATTGGTAACAGATATAGAAAATATACATATAAAAAAAGAAAATCGGTATACAAACAAAAGAGAAAAAGGTATTAAACTGCTTTGTTTTTGACTAAATATAGTACTTAAAATCAAATAGGAGTTTTTTTAATTTAATTTATATAGCGGTAAAATAATTATGTGAAAATCTTGCAAATTTATTTAAATGTTCTCACGTTTGTTTCTTATTTTGCTACACCTGACTTTTTATTTATTATTTGAAATTTTTTCAAAGTATATATATATTATACATTTAATGTTAGATAATATGTAGATTATTTAATTTTACACGTTACTGGATAGCGATTCGCCTTTAACCCTCGCCTTCAGCCCTCCCTAATGTTCCACTATATTAAAGTACCTACTTTCATTGTTATAAAACTCAAATCATAGCTCGTAATGCTAAAATAGGCTACAAATATCTGGCTCGATTCACTACGAGTATTGATTAGGTAGCTTTCTTGCCATTCTGTGAATAAGCGCGATTGATTGATGGAAAAATAATGGAAGGACGGACAGCTGACTCATTTATCGTTAGTTTAAATAACAGGTGTTGTCACTTGTATGTTATTAGTATTGTATGAACCCCGATATTTTTTTAATTAGGTATGTGCTATATTAAAGGAAGAAAGTAATTTGATTCTTTTTTTTTATCAAACCTTTATTGTTGAAGAAGCAAATACAAGTATAATCTAATAAAAGGGCTCATCATGTGTCCCGTCTATCTCCATTCCAACAGTCTTACTTTCTTTATTTTGACTTATACTTTGGTTCTGGATCATATTTCATGTGCTCTTAAGTGATCTTTTTTAGTGTCACCTATCTATCATGCTTTTCTCCATTCCTCGCTGACATGATCTCAGTTTTAAAAGATGTTTTTGATTTAGTGCCCACGTTTGGCTGTGTGTATGTGTAAAATTGATAAATAAGTATCATCTTAAATAAAACTATCTTTTCGGATTATTTTGCGGATTTATTTTGATTTTTGGTTCCCGACGTTTTGAATGCTTTACAGCATCCATGGTCACGGGAGAGACTAAGGTTTTAGAAATCCCAAACATATATTTATTACAGACAGCGCCTGACTTGTTCAGGCACTGTCTGATATTCACTGAAAAGATAGTTTTATTTAAAATGTCAAATATTCGCGTAAATCTAAGAAAATATTAAATAAGTATCACCTAATATGTCCTCATAATGCAATGTGTGACTTTGACTTTCATCAAAATGTGCAAAACACCAAGAGGAGAAAGATTTTTTTCACGTATTTTTGAATATATATAAATATTTTATTCATTAAAAAGAACCGTAGTTACGACCTAACCTGTTCATTCAAATGCGGTCTATTGCGTCTCCATCGAAACAAGATTGATTGCAAACGAAACTATTAAGACGCAAAAAAAACAAGTATAAAACCTGAAAAGACATAATTACCCTTAAAAAAATTATTGAATATTTTTAACGAAGTTGGAAGTAAAATGTGATGCGAAATGATTGGTACATTGCACTCTGTGCAATTATAGTCATGGCGTTGCGTCGGTCAAAGCGACCAGTGCACGGGGTTTGTGGGTCACTCCAACCGGATCTGCATTACCACCTACATTCGAGATGCGGAATTAGAATGCATGGAAGTGGCGTGTCATTGTCAAGATCATGTCACTCGTTAGTCAGCGAGCGTTGACTGGAAACTCGATTTAATTATAAATTAGTAAAGAAACGTTACGTTTTATAGGATCAATTAAATTTATTACTGTTTTTCTAATTATTCTTTTTATAAGATAACAGGTTTTTAGTTACAATGTATATGTGTGTTATAATACTGCCAAATGGCAGTAATAAAAAAAAACTAACTAGCGACTCATACTCGCTTCGCTCAGGTTCGTCCTTAGCTTGATTCCCCATACTAACTTTCATCCCCATTTTTACCCCCTTAACGGATGATTTCCGGGATAAAAAGTATCCTATGTCCTTTCCAGGGTCTCAAACTATCTTTTTATCAAATTTCACCTAAATCGGTTCAATAGATCCAGCGATTACCCTCTACAACGTCACAAACTCACAAACTTTACCTCTTTATAATATTAGTATAGATCATTCAAAGTTCAACGACTATTGATGACACGTCATGCAAGTGTAACTGTTGGTGTTGCATAGTACTGCATAATGGGCAGAGTACAGTTAACTGTGAGGTTCATAAAATTTGGCCGTCACGTTATCTTTCATCGACGGATGCGGGCGTAATTAGGAAACATAATGGGCTAACTGAATTTTTTTGTTTATTATTTTAAATTTTTTAATAAAAAATATGATATAAAATTAATATATGTATGTGAGAACTGGAAATATTTGTTGAGATTTAAAATTTTATTCATTCGATGGTATGTTATGTTTTTTTTTTATTTAATGTTCTCAAATTATTTTATGGAAAAGAAAAAGCTTATATTTA